ATAGATAGATAGATAGATAGATAGATAGATAGATAGATAGATAGATAGATAGATCGATAGATAGATAGATAGATAGATAGATATTTTTTGCAGAAGTCAAAATATACAGTACTGTGCAAAAGTTTTAAAGCCCCCAAATGTCTTTATCTTTCACCTCCAACAACACAAACCTTTTATTTTTGAAGTAGTTTTGATCAACAGCTTTCCAAACTTTCTGAAGGCCTTTTAAACAGTTTAGACTTGACACTGACTGCACACTGAGTGCTTAAATGAGGAAAGTGGAAAAGAACAGGATGAGAAGAGCAAGTATCAGGTCCAAAAAAATGATCTACGGCAGATGATGTCCTGATTCTCCTCAGTAATCCAGGTAGAAAATAAAAAAATGTTAAGCAGGTCCTCTGAACCAAGGTTATAATAGTTTTGGATTTTTCATTATAGTTTAGTTTTATTTTGTTTCACCTTTTTCCTTTAATTTAGTTAGTTTTAATTAGGTATTAGAGTGGAATTTCTTGTTTTTGTTAGTTATTGCTTTTTTAATGCTTAGTTTTAGTTTAGTTTTGTTTTCATTAGTTCAAGTATTAGTTTTTTTTATAACTTTCCTCCAGCTTGTGTTGCTCCTGTGAGTGAAATAACCAGCAGCTTTTTGGTCACCAGTGAAAGCAGTCCATTACAAAAACCCCTTCTTAAAATAATCACGCAGCTCAATTTAGCCAACAAAGGACCTGGAGGACTGTTTTAGGAAGGTGAAGATAGTCGTCTCGCTCCCGGTGCTGCCTGGCTGGGCTGTTGCTTGTTTTTCATGCGAGTTACTGAGAGAAGCTGGCGTGTCAAGATGCTCACAGTTAGCCGTCAGGTAAGAGTGTGATTCGTACAGTTTTTCCCTACAGAATATTCCATCTAATTTATCGCCCTTTCCCACTACAAGACACTTGCTTTTATTTTTCTCGCAGTCATATTCAAAGAAATCCCAAATTGGACTTTGTCACTTTCTCTCAACTTTTGTTGTCGTCATTCGGCAGACAAGTGATGAGCAGCAGCAGACTGTAAACATGTGATGTTATGGACCACGAGGTGCCGTAAGCTGCCTGCAGCTAATGTGAAACTGCTCAATTTGAAAAAAATAAAATAAAATAAACAAAATTGTTTAATCAGTCCACATGGCTTAACATAAATTGACAAACACTAAAACAAAGGATATTCTATTATTTCAGTTAGTTATGTAAAAATATAATACAGTTCTAGTTAGTTATCATTTTTCCCCATTTTATTAGTTTTTATTTATTTTATTTAACTAAAATGTTTTTTCATTTCAGTTTTCATTATTTTGTTAGTTTTAGTTAACTATTATAACCTTGGTCTGAACAGGTTTGTTTCATTAAAGAAGAATCTACTGAACTGTTTGAAAATGCAGCAGATCTGATCTGATCTGAAAGTCTTTAAGGAACAGAAATAAATAAACCCAGCAAAGACTTGACTCACAACCTGAGCAATGCATCACCTTTCTGTTAGGGTTTTTGTATTTTTTTTTTGGATTAACCTTTGCTCTTTATCTAATGATATGGTTCATTTGTGTTCATCTTGGTTTGGTTTATTGTTACGTGCATGCTTATAAATCCTCAGTTCTGTTTTGTTTTCTGCCCGAGTCGTGTCACACCAGGGTTTTTGCTTATCCTGCCCTGGTGTAGCTTTGTTGCTTCAATTTAGCTTAGTCTTTATAAATAAAACTCGTATTTCCACAACCTGTCTTCTTGCCCTGAATTTACGACCCTCAACCACAACTCTTTGGGAATCATCGTGTTGGTGCTAAAATACTATTTTATCTAAGTCAAGCGTATGTTAACAGTAAACAAATACATAATTTGTACCTTTGTGACTGACTTCTGGCAGCAAAACTTGAAAATAAAAACCCCTTCAGAAAGCTTTGAGAACTGTTAATGAAAACCACTATAAAATATGTCTCCTTGGAAGGAAATAAAAGTGATGATCAAGAGGTTTGTGCAGTACTTTATGTAGTCAGAAGATGTCTCCCTGCACTTATTTCTGCATGACTCAAAAAGAAGCAGCTACTCAGAGACAGGTTGTCTCTTGTCAAATCAGAGCGAAAAAACTAATAAACTTCATTCATCGAGGTAAGTTTGATTTTTACATGAGGGCACTTAAAGCTTAAACAGAAAAAAGTTGGGACAAAATGTAATTGAACAATAAATCTTAAAACATGTTTCCCATGTTGAGAATTTCTTACACATGCTGACTGTTGTTTTTCTTTTTTTTTTATTTGCTCCTGTGACAAAAGACCAAAAAGTGGAGACGGCTGAAATGAAAACATAAAACACTCCAAGCAGATGACTCTTTAAACTAACAAAATAAGCGACAGTGAACGGCGCTTACAGAGCTAAAGCAAACAAACAAAAAGAAGTGAAATGAAAGAGCAAACCTGATTGGAGGCGGCAGATTCAGCGAAAGGAACATTGATGCCTGGGGTCGAGGCCGACGAAACAGTGGAGGAGGTGGCCATCATGGGAACTTTTATTCAGGCGAGTCGGACACAAGACAAAGAGGACGAGGATGCGGGCGTGAAGGAGGAGAGGGGAGAACAGGAATGATATGGTTACCATGATGAAATGTGCAGAATAGAAAAATTAAAATAAAAAAGTCATGGCATTGGTCCAGTGAAATCGACAAGATGAATGTAAACAGATAACGAGGAGACATGCAAACAAAATAAGAGAAAGAAAATTACATCTTTAATCAGCTAGCCAGTTTAAAAAAATAAAAGGAGATATACAATCATACAATCCAATCAGACTGTATCTGATAATTGTATTTAATGAGCTGAGAATGTGTATGAAAAGAGCAAATGAGCCAAAAAGAAATCTTTTTGGCAATCTAAAGCAACCAAAGTTATTAAAGTTGAATTTATGTTTTTTTCTTATGTTAGTTTTATTTAATCTATTCTTTATAACTTATAACTAGGGTGTTGTTATAACTACAACAAAGTTTAACATCCATTAATGGGCGGCTGTGGCAGAGTGGTTAGGGGAGTCATCCTGGAACCGGAAGGTCACTGGTTCGATCCCCTGTCCAGCCATCTCAGTTGTTGTGTCCTTGGGCAAGACACTTCACCCACCTTGCCTACTGATGGTGGTCAGAGGGTCCGGTGGTGCCGGWGCATGGCAGCCCCACCTCTGTCAGTGTGCCCCAGGGCAGCTGTGGCTACAGTGTAGTTTGCCATCATCAGTGTGTGAATGGGTGAATGTCTGTTAGTGTAAAGCGCTTTGGGGTCCGGAGGGACTTGAAAAGCACTCTTTAAGTTCAGTACCATTTACCATTAAAAGCCATCACTCTATTATATCTATATACGACAGAAAACCAATTATATAATATAATATTGGGTTTTTAAATATTTTCTAATAGAGTGGTGAAATGGGTTAAAAAAAAGAAAAACAACCACGAGTCATTAAAAATATACAACAGGTTCCAGTTTATCAAAAAACAAAGTGAAAAATTCAACAACAGTCAACACGGCTCGACTGAACCAGCAGTTCCTGGAATGGGTCTAAATGTAGAACGCTTCTGATGTCTTCTTTTCCAAATACTCAAGTTTATTGCAAATGCTGATAATCCTGATGTGTGAAATCCTCACTGACAGTTGGAGAGGTTCTCGCCGTGTCTCGGACTGAAAGTTTCCATCCAGCCGCTCTGGTGCCAACAGCAAAAGGCTTCAGTGAGCAGCCGCGTCGGCACTTTTCAGACCTCAGCCGTGGTGAGGGGCATCAGATGGTTTTAATCCCGGAAACACCAAAACACACACGCTGCTGTAAAATGAAGCATTTCCAACAGCAAGCAGGGATTTCCCATGACTGAAAACTCACATTATCACACAGCTGTCACTCTCTCATCTCATGTAACCATCCTGAACAGTTTAAGACTTTCACTTACCGACTTTGACCCGAACAATCAAGAACACACTCACACCTATCGAACCGTCCCAAGTACACCAGCTCAAACAGGGTTTTCCTTCAAAACAGAGCTAAAATACCAAATCTGTTTGTCTCTTTTTAGTCTTTCTTTTCATTTTTATTCGTCAATAGTTACAGAGTCCTCCTTCCTCTGTCTGTGTCACAATCTGGGGTTTCTGTTTTGAGTTTTTTTCTGTCCCTTTGTGTTCAGTTTTCGTTCCTCTGTGCCATTAGCCACTTCTTCTTCAGTCGCTACTTTTCCAGCTAAGTCTGCCACGCCCAGCTACACCCGCTCCCTGTTTTTCACCCGTCACAGCTGCAGCCACTTCTCTCATCTGCTCCCAGTTCTTTTAGTTTCTCAACTTCACCTCCCTCAACAGTTGAGAATCCATTCGTCTTCAGTTTATGAAACCAAAGCGCACATCTTGTGTTTTGCTGCCACAACAAGCTTTTTGGTTTTGACTATAATAAATTTTAGTTTTAGTTTTATTGCCTCAAGTTGAGGAGTTTAAGTGTCTGGGTATGTTGTTCAGGAGAGGTGGTAGGATGGAGCGGGAGATGGATCGACAGATCGAGGTTTCATCCTCAGTAATGAGGGCGTTGCTTCGGTCAGTTGTGGTGAAGAAAGATCTTAGTCAAAAAGCAAAGCTCTGGATATACTGGTCTGTCTACAACCTTCACCAGATGTGGATCATGACCAAAAGAACAAGATCCTGGATACAAGAGGACAAAATGAGCTTCCTTGAACATAAGATGGATGGAGATGCATGGTTTTAGTCTGAATCTTTGGGTCCAACCTCCTACATCCGTGACATTCTGTCTCAAAAAGCTTTTAAAACAACAGCGATACTACACTCTTCCAGCATAAAACCCACTGTGGATGGCAAAAAAAGCAACTCAAGCTGTGCTGGACTCGGGACAGCTCATTCCAGTTACGTTTCAGCAGGTTCAGAGATGAGCCGAAAGAGGTTTTATGTGCAATTTGTTAGTGTGAAAATGGACCTGAAGTGTCCAGAGATTGAAAGAAATACTGCATATTAAATTAAATACGTGTGGGCAGACATGTCCCATCGAATACAGAAAAGGTAAGTGGGTGTTTTGGCAGCAGAATTCAGCCTCGTCAATAAATCGCGTCAAACGCTCTTCAGCCATAAATCGATGTTTATTTAAAATGCTTTTGAAAGAAAAACGTCTTTTTGTGTGTGATGTGGAAAACTTAATACCATCAAAATGTATTGAAGAACTGCATAAAAAGAAGTTTAAAGCCTCTTGTTAGACATATGTTTGCAGTTTTATCTCTCTTTTTTCGGTATTTACTCTGGCACTTGCCACTAGTTTTTACTGGCAAACAGAATCAAAGTGTTTTCCAACATCTTCTGTCTGACTGAAGGAGAGAAAAAAAGCTTCCACCTATTAATCATTGGATCAAAAAGCTCACATAAAATCCAGACCCTTGTTTCTGCAACAAGAGATCTTTAACATTGATTAAGGTCTCAACAAATCATCAGTCTTGAAGCAACAAAAATCCAAAAGACAGCAACAGAAAGAGCAAAGGAAATAAGTGTGAAAGAGGAGAAAAGAGTGAAGTAAAGTCTTGAACATAAACACAACTGTAAAACATTTTATATTAGTCAGATACCCTCTGCTTTAATCCACGCAGAAGGACTTGTTCCTGTAGGAACCACTGTTCAGAGACTCACCTGTGGGGATAAACGCTGGCTGCTGGAGCTGCATGTTAGCCAGTGCTTGCTGGTAGTGAAACACGTTGGGGTTGAAGACAGTGGTCGCAGCTCCGTTGCTCTTCTCTATAATCTGCCTCTTCGGTAGCGTCTGCACAGCTCCTGGAGGCAAAGCCTGGCCGAGAGGAGGAAAAACAGACTTTCACTCCACTCAAAATCCTTTCTTGTAGCCATTTCAAGATGAAAAATACAGTCATCTTTGGGGGAATTTGATTTGTTTTTTACAGCCACAAGAGGGCACTGCATTATTAAGGATTAGCTGAACGGCTGCAGCTCAAAGGTCAGGCCAAGAGCAAAATGAGAAAAATTAGATTTTATTCTATAATGATGTCCTACTGAAACCTCCTTTTGTATTATAAGATGCCAAAGAGACATACTAGAAAACACAACAGAGGAAATAATCTCTAACAACTCAAACAGACCCAAAGTATTTTATTATAAAAGAGGTGAGAACAGTACCGGTAAGTCATTTAGTGAGTTAATGATCTTTATCTATAAAGCACTTTTTAAATGACTGCATGTGTTACAGTGGGCTTAAATAACTAAGCAAGCAAAGCAACAATGAAAGAAAAGTAAAATTCAAAACTATAAAAGAGTTGCCAAGTGAGTCAGACAGAAAACATTTTGAAAAGAGGTGGGTCTTTAGCTGAGAATTAAAGAACCAAAGAAACACCCAGTCTGGGACCCAGAGCAGCAAAGACACAATCATCTTGTTTTGTTTTAGTCAAGAGTGAGGAGCAAATACTACAGAAGGTTTAACGTGTCTGTGTATAAGAAACATGAGGAGTTATCTGTAGATCACTCTGACTATTCATGACTTTACCTGGGTTCCTACAGTTTAAAGCAAGTTAAATTTAAGACTTATTAAGACTTTTTAATGCCAACTGAAATTAAATTTACGACCAATTTCATAATAAACACAAAAATGACAAAAATAAATAAAACTGTAGCAGAAACTCATGAGTATTTTTGGTTGAAGTATTAAAATATTGATACTAGACCAATTGTTTTTATCCAAATCTAACTGCTTTTTCATCAAATATAGCAAAAACATTCTTAGCAGTCAGTTTAACGACCCATAATTTAGAGTTTTAGGACCCACAGTGGGGTCTTAACCCCAATTTGCTGTAGATGAAAGCTTAAGTGAATGTGACATCAAAATTTGTAAGAACAGTTTATGCATTTTTGAAATGACAACATTATTAACATATTACAAAACGAATTTCACATTGCTCAGATGGACAGTTGTTGAGATATTTGCATCTAAGTAACAGGAAATGATGTCAAAGGAGAATGTCTGCATGTAAATATTAAAATAAATAAATGTTACCAATTATTTTAATATTTGAGATGAATTGCAATCATCCTATTTACAATGTATTAACATTTTTAAAACTTCTGAACGACTGATTTACGACAGTTTAAGGCTAATTAAGGCCTTATTTTTGTATTGATGAATTCAATGCCTTTTAAGACTTTTTAAGGATCTGCAGGAACCCTGCTTTACAGATGAGAAAGAACATTTTGATTTCAATTTGAGCCTTTGGTAACTATTATTCTGTCTGTGAGGATGAATATCTCTCAGTAAATGTTGTCATCGCAGATTTGAGAAGAACTCACCAAGGATGTGGATGCCGTGTTTTGACTGGCTTGGTGCTGCGAGGCCTTGATCCTGGCCTGCAGGTGGGCCGGCGGGTGGAAGTACTTGCACTTGTCTCGGCTGCAGCGGCCCTTTATGTAGTCCATGCAGACGATGACGGAGTTCTCGCTGCAGTCCACCATGCCGGCCTCTAGAGGGTGAGCGTAGCGGCACTCGTTCTCGCCCCGCGTGCAGTTACCGCGCTGGAATTCTCGGCAAACCTGGCGGGGGGGCACCGGGAGCGCTAATCAACGTCTACCTCTCATCGTACTTCGACTAAACATAGAAACACAACAACTGCACACGGGGCCGCATACCTCCAGCTTGTCTGTACGTGCGTGTTTCTGTGCCGAGGTGCCGTTCCCCATCGCTGCCAGGCCTGTGGGACTCCCGGGGACAAGGAGGGGGGAGGTGGGAAGCAGCTCAGGCATCAAGCCCATAGCTGGGCCCATGTGGCTGAGATATGGACTGAATGCCATGCTGGGACTCGTTGCCAGGGAGGGTGTTACTGGAAATGTTGCCTGAGAATAAAATAAACCACAGAAACAAAAGAGAGACAGATATTTGGCTTTAAAGCTACCAACAGCTGAGCAAAAAAACAGAGTGAGGCTTGAATAACATGAAATATATTGTCATTAAATAATCAAACTATTTGATTTTACTGAAATGTTTAAGACCCATTCCAGCTGTTGAATATTCTATAACTCTTTATTTTCTTTTTATTCTTGACTAAAGGATAATTAGTTTGCTGCATCCTCAGTGGATCACATTTTATAAATATTAAAAACACAGAGTAAGTTAGCTCAGTCTTGGTGCAAACTGCTCACAATCGGCTGCAGCTGTGCTCCGGCCAGCATGAACGGCATCTCTTGAGCCAACATGGCCGCCGCGGCCTTCTGTTGGATCAGGTTATTTCTCCCGTTGATCTCCAGCTGTGTCTTCAGGTGTGGAGGTGGGTGCAGGTATTTACAGTTCTCTCGTGTGCAGCGACCCTGAAGAAGAGACGGAGGGGCGGGGTAGGAGGAGGAGTGAGGACTCGTAGAGGTAAAAAAAAATTACTGATAAAGACTGAAAACACACGTTTGACTCTCATCGTTCACTGTGACCAATTCTGTATATAATGTAAACACAAATAAACAAACACTTTTTAAAATGAATACCAATTACTGTATTTTTTTATCTGCTTTGAGACCTCATTGAAAATATATAAATTAAGGCGATTGTCTTTTGTAATGCAACTAACTTTTATTTTATGTTCAGCATAATTAACACATAAATGTACTGTATGTTGACACTGACAGTCAATGTTTGTGTACATAACTGCTTTAAAATCAAAATCAGATGTTCCTAGTTCACATTTTTTGTGCTGAAAATATTACAAAAATGTTTTATGTCTAAGCTGTTATTCACCTGCTCATCCACGTTCTTTAAATGTCACTCAGATGTTTACCTTTAGGCCAAACCCACACTAAACAACTGGAGCTACGAGAGCTTGTTGCAGAGGTGACAGCTCATAAACAGAGAAAACTGAAGAGGTATCTGAGGTCATGTTACAGACAGGGGCGGAGCTAGACCTTTTTGCAAGGGGGTGGCTAGTGATTTTTATAGGGTGGCACATACAAATAAAGAAAAGCAGGAATTTAAATTAAGATGGCAAAATTAAATTTAGTGTGAATGATCAAAAAACATGCTAAATTTTAGTCATAACCTATTATACTATGGGACAACAGATGGAAAAATAGCCTTTGACTAATTGTGGTGCATTTACAAAAATGTCAATTAATGTGCATTGTCCCTTTCAAATAAATTAAATTAAATTAAATTCAGCCATTTACATTGTAAATAAGAAACTGTTCTTAATGTTTTGCCTGTTGAAATAAAGATTAAATAAAAAATGTTTTTAGAAATACAAAGCTGAAGATTACGGTAGTCTTGAAG